AACCTTTTGAACCCTAAACCCAACCTAAACCTGCCGTGAACCTTGGTCCCTGCGCCAACCCTTATTGCCACCAAGATCCCAGGTACGATTTATTATGTATTGAGGGGCCAAAAAAAACCCAAGATCCGGGGCATGATTTGTTACAGATATGAGTGGGCCAGAACCATCCGCCACGCCTCCTCCCAAACAGAAATACCGAGACAAGGGGCACGATTTTTACGGATAAGAATATTCTTATGATGGATGAGAAAGAACCAAAAAACACCCGGAGTACAGGTAAAATAGACCAGAAAGAGGCCCCAAAATCCATAGGTACGAGTTATTTCTTCAGATCAGAACGGGCCCTGCGGCCGCTGTGGTGCGCAGTGAGACACCTGACAGCGCTAAGGGACAAATCTTGTCGATGGCATCAATTGGCCCCTTCATCGCTGACGCTGCACCCGCTGCTCTTCGGTAGCGACTTCTGTACCCCTGCATGCCAGCGGAACAAAGCAAAAAAGATCCAGACTGTTTAAATCGTCAGCTGGACACACAGAAGCTCAACGTGGAAAACGCGCGTTTGCCTCCGGCTGTTGCGGTGCACAGCGAAACACTGATCATCGTTAAGGCTGCCGTTTCGGTAGCAGGCTTAACCTAACGTGGTGTGGCCAGGAATTAGTGGCATCTTTGCTGCAGTCATCTAGTTCACTGCAGCAGTGGCCTAGCTCGCTACTGCTGTGGATCACACCACTTGCAGCAAAAATGACCACCGAAGACTTGCATGATGCACATTGCAAACCTCAACACATGTGAAACTGAGAGACCGTGCAAAAAGACTTGCAGAGCGAGATGGTGCCTGCGCAGCACTGATGCTCCGATTTCCTTCACAAATCACATCGCCTGGCCTTTCAAGTTGCTCTTCGCGGCAAAAAGCCGTAGCAATCTTGCCTAGCAGTGATGCCGTCCGTCACGTGGAAGTCAAATGGCCGATCACGAAGCCGAGGGTTGGGCTAGCTGGTGTTCTGGCGCAGGACTTTTGATGCGTTTTGGACGCGCTGCCACGCTCCGCCAGCCTGCCAGCATCATAAGCGGCATGGGAAGGAGCCAACAGAAAAGGCTGGGGCTCCATGCCGCTTGTGAGTAGAGGTAGATGTCGATTTGATCAGGATCAACGTCTTGTAGGGCATTAGACTTCATCCGCTTGATGGCCTGGTGACTTGCTTGTCGGGACATGAGCAAAAAAGAGCAAAAGGAAACATGCCGAGGCCGGGTCTGTTTTCAAGTCGTCCACATTATTGAGTCTCGAGTCTGGGTGGTCCTGTTGACATGCGATCGCCAAATCCACTTGACATGGTGTGGCGAAGATGGCCTGAGGGGACACCTGAAACGCCTGCTCCAGCTCATCCTCGCCCTCAGGGTCGTCTTGACGAGACCTTATCTGCGCAGAGGCGCTGCTCCAAAACGACCGGCACTGGGAATCCTCCTTGGGCCTCAGCTTTTCCGTGACCGTCCGATCCTGCAAGTCGAGTGGGTCAAAACTGTGGCAAACATGAACCGACAGCAAACTGAAACTCCAGCAAGAAACAGCCAAAACTCCCAGCCCCGAACCGCTTCCCGAAGCCGACGTGTGCCCCCAATCTCCGCCCCCTACCGACGATGGTGCGCCGGGCGAGCGTCCAAACAGCCATGCCCCAACCCTAGACTCAGCTACTGACTGCTACTGATACCTCGCGCTCCAAGTACTGGCATTTGCTCTCAATTCAACCCATTGTAACAAACTGCATGTGTTCACACGTTGATGCACAAGGATTTGCACCGACAAAGACATCGACATTCAAGAAGGGTTGCGAAACGAACTATTAGAGCTACCCCGACGCAGGTGACCGATAAGCTAGTTGAGCCTCCGTCGCAGATTTGTTGGTACTGTTCCACGACGCGGGACATGCTGTCATAGCCCTCAGCAAAGCGCTTGACGACGTTCAGGTAGGGAGCTTTCTCTGTCCACGTCTTGTAGTCATCTGATATGTGCAAGCGACTCGCGTAGCTGTGCAGAGTATCAGAAGGCACTTGAGGACAAGCCTTGTTTGCATAGCCACCAGTGATCTTGTGTCCACCATTCATCTGATCGAAGAGGCGCTTTGTCTCCCACAAATGCACCAAACATATCACGGAGAAGGAAACTTGATCTTGACGTAATTTCCAAGACACCCCTGAGAGAAGTTTGATTGTCTCCATGTCCGGCTCAGAAAGGGAGTGTTCGTCCAAAGCATCAATCACCAACACTGCTGCGCTGAAACCAGCTTTGCTCAGCCTCTTTAACGCTCCAAGAAGGTGATCAGACAGCTTGTCTGTCCTGCAACTTCAGGCTCCCACTCGCTTCAAAGGTTACAGAAGCTGCTGGAACAGGAACAGCCTGGCTTTGCAGGTCTTGAAGTACCGCTGCTGCAACGGTAGACTTCCCCATTCCGGCTTCAGCATAATATGCATGGACACCTGGCACCGTTGTCGTCAGTAGCATGAGCTTGTGATGTTGCGTGTTGCTTTCGTAATGCTCATACTTCTCTGGTAAGGTCCGGCCATACTGCAAAGTCGCCGCGACCAGAGGAAGGCTGTCTGACCAGAAGCACTCAGCAGCCATTATTTGCAGAGCCGGCCAGAGCCCCGCATCAGGCTGCCATTCCCATACGAGATTGCCACATTTGAAGAGCACAGGAAGAGCAAACGTTTTGAAAACCCAGCCTAGTAATGCCACAATGACTCCAATGACAGCATACTCTCCGCGATTCCACCAGTCTGAAGTCTGAAGTCTGTGTAGCTGGTGTAGGCACTGCAGCGGTAGCTGTCGTGCTTGCTGTCGGCAGAGCAACTGTGGGAGTGGGCATCGAAACTTTCGGTTTGGCCTTGGGCTTCCGGCACGGCGGGAGGTTTGGCTTTCTGCTTCCCCATAGCTCCGCAGCAACTAGACTTCCAGCTATGTTCCACACAAGCCTCCTGAAACGTTTTCATGCAAGCCCATACGTAGTCTCGCTTTCCAGCTATGTTCCACCACATGTCTGCGCAAGCCTACGTATCAATTCCTGTTCCGAAATCAAGGCGACGAAACTCTTGCGAGAACAAACCAAGCAAAATCAAACTCACAAGCTGCCCGTCCACGTTTTGAAAGGTTGGTCACAGGTTGCATGTTTAGCTTTGCAGGTTTGTTCATGGCTGGCTCAGCTAAGCCTGTATGTCCAAAACAAGCTGGTCTTGAGCCTTTTGGCGTCCGCGATCAAATGGACATTGGTTAGAGGTCTACGCGGTCACTCATAGGAGGCGACTGTTTTGCTGGACTTGCGATAGATGTCGAATGCTTTGCCAGACTTAATTGGTTCCATTGTAAACCGCATGTGTTCCAACTTTGCTCCACAGTCCGGAAGAAACGCTGCGCTTGCTTATTCCGTCGCATCCCAACTGCTAGCCCCCTCTCCAATTTGACACCTTCGAAACGCACGCTTCCCAAACTTTGTTGCACCATCACTCGTTCAGCTTCTTGTGCAACGACGATCTGCATCACTAGTCTGCATCACACGCAGTGAAGATGGAAGCCGATGAGAATCTAGCTAGCTCGACATCTTGCGGGCCAGAAAGGTCTCAGTCAAGAACGCTGCGGAAAACTCATCGCCACTGACTCCTGCAACATTATTCCGACAAAAACCTCTCAATGAACTTCAGTCCAAAGATACGTTGACAGGAACCATGCTACCCCTGCAGCTGTAATGGCTCGTTACATGTTCATGCTTGAAAGATAAGCGCTGATGGCTCACTGATGTTAGCTGGACCTTTGCATGCGTTCATTCATGGGTTGCTACCAGGACCATTTGTCCAGGCCCCACCAGATCTGCGTCTTCAAGGATTTGGACAACTCTGGAAGTCTAGAACCAAGTTGGTTGCATGTGGTTTGTTTCGCACGGACACATTGACTCAAAGGTGCCAATCACCACTATTTGGGAGACACAAAGAAAACGGCCCTGCAACCTTTCTTTTTGCAGCTGACCTGCAGCTCTTCTTCACAAAGAACAAGGGGCGCTCACGCTCACGCCAGTTCTTCTGCGTGTTCGCTTGCGATTTCGCTGACTTCATCCAAATCGCTGGGTGCTGGAGGTGTCTTTAGATGCTGGAAGCCACGCAGATGTAGCCATACCTGCTTGCTGGCCCGGCTCACAAGACATTCGAGACTTGATGTCGTTTTTTCGCCTATTATTGCATAAGAAGACAAGAATTCCATACAAAACGGAACCTTCTACAACCACCGTTTCTGTTGCTGTCTGAGCCCACGTCACCTGTCCGCTCGGGCCTCTGCCCTCGCCATCTTTGAAGGACATCGTGGTTTGGGTTGCCTGCATGTACCTTGCACATAAAATTTATGACAGTCATGAATTTCATGGCTGACACCAAATCCCAACAATCACCCGATTATCCAAAACCCATGCCGCGAGGTACTTGGATGAGTCGTTCAACGTCCTGATCCACAACGTGCCCAATCTGGTCGCGTTCAAGTCACCCTGCCTGAGGTCATGTGAAAGCATTTCGACATGGGGTTTGGGGTTTTTGTGTTCAGGCTAGACTGGGCTTACATATCGCTCTTGAGCAAGGAACAGACCCGTTGAGGCCTGCACTAGGCCAGCATTGACACCCACATGTTGAATCTATGTATTCCGCACCGATCCTGAGTGAGGCTGCTTTTGCCTTAAAATGCCCGAGAGCGGATTTCTGTTTCCGACAGCAGAAGCCTCCCTCAGGGTCAGGGTCGGCTTGGTTGGAATGCCCAACCGCCCTGCCCTCGTTGCTCACAGCCCTGTGCCTTCATGCCAGTGGCGAAGCGAAGCTTTAGGCAAATATTCAGCATGTCATGCTTAGAGGCTTAAAGCTGCCGAACGCTCATGCCACCTAGCAGGACCTGGCAGGATTCACGACCGGCCTTGCTTGCAACACGTAGTGGCGAAGATTGGAACTCACAGTTGGCCAGTCCGTCGGCCGCACGAGCTGCTGCAATGTGGGCCTCATGGCCTCAGCTTGTAAACCCAAAACCCTAAAACCAAATGCCGATGTGTTCAGAGCGTTCAGGTTTCCAGGAACATCTTTTTGAAGGGGTGACGTTTGACGACTCCAAGGGCCACATTTCTGCACAGCAGAAGCAAAAATCTACAAACAGCAGAATCCACTTTGAGTCAACTTCAACGTCATTGCCCACGCACATGGCGCAGCCATCAACCAAGGCTTTTCAAGCAGGGCTCCAGACCGATGCTGTCTTGGCTACGTGCTTGGAGGCAAGTGGCAGGTGTCCGAAGATTGTTCTCAAAGCCTTGAATTTTAAGTTGTTACGTTGCGCTGAGGTGGGAGGCCCCCCTAATCTCACACCGAAGATTCCAAACTCCAGAACATTCCTCAAATTTAAACCCGGAAACTCTCCAATCCCACACGCCAAACCCGAAACGCGGAGAGCCTATGCACCCAAAGTCGCTCGCAGGCCAGAGCCTGCTTGGCGCTCCTTGAGTTGCTGAAGCTGAGATCTTGGGCGCTGCTCTTTTTGGGCCCTCTTGGGGGGTTAAGGGGAAGGGAAGCCTTGAACAACCGCAACAACCGCTTAGTCTCCTTGTACTGCATGTGCACCTGAAGTAGCTCTTGCCATTGCGGGTCCACGACCAACACGAGCTCATGCAGGTGTTCTGGGCTCCGGAGCCAGGATGGCTCGTCCTCGCTGGCACCGCAACACACAATGAATCGTCCAAAACCATCCGTTTCTTTTTCCGAGCCCCGGCGGAAAGAATCAAAAGTCCAAGGCTCATAGGCGCTTTTTCATACCCTTGCTGTTGTGGCTTTCACAGGCCCCGAAGAAATCCATAACTATGGTCGTTCAAGCTACTTCAAGCTACCGTGACCCTCAGAAGCAACTCTCCTTGGCACCCTACCAAACCAAGGCGGGCAACGGAAGCCACTGAACGCCGAGATGATGGCAGGGAGCTAGGACGGGCGGCGGGGAGAAAGGCATGCCTCAAAGCCAATGAGGTTTGCAGGGTTTGGGCTTCAGGGGCGATGAGAATCTTGAGAGTGCTGACAATTCTGGCCTGAAGTCGAAGCTTCAAACCCTCTTAGTTCCGAGGTCTGAAGGACCCGAAGCCCCAAAACAGTTCTACATCCTGATACCCATGACTCACGCCACTGAGCATGTCAACCAGCCAAGCACAGCGGGTTCACAAAACGAAATCAGCCCCAAGGAACTAAACCTAGGCATAGAAATCAGAACGTCCCCGTGCCTCGTGGGCATGGAAAACCGTGCTGGTGCCGCCTCTGGCTATCCAAATGGTCGAAACTAAGCCAGAAACAAATCAGCATTCCCTCGGGTAGCAACGACCAGTAGACCAGCAGACTCGTAAAACTGGAAAAATGGTAAGGCTGTTGTTCAGATGTAACAGCCAGCAGAGAACGCGACTGTGGAGACGGAAGAGGAGGGAGAGGAGACAGAAAAACACGGAGATGGGTGGTTTCTTTGGCCGATGCGTGAGCGACCTGGGTCTTGCCCAAGCTCTCTTTATCTACCCCTTGCAACCCAGGCAAGATACCGCTCAGTGCTGCTGTTTCGTAAGAATTGCCTCAACTGGTTGACCCTGCATGATCTGTGCTTCATGGGAGGCCCTACTACTGTGCTGCAACTCGTTTTGTTCGCAGCTTGATGACTTACTTGACACTGTGATCGAGGGAAAGGAACTTCAGAATCACATGGGGTTCAACATGTAACACATCAAATTTCTAACTCGGTTCTCACGCTCCGGCAAGTACACTTTCGCCCACAAGCGGATCTCGATGCCAAAGTAACTTTTGTACTGCCTACTGCTTGCTGGTTCGAACTGGAGCAAGGATGGACAAAGGTGCAGCGTATTGGCGTATTCTGCAGGGCATATCTTAGAACAATCATTGTGCTTAGGAGCCTTTGGTGAGGCCAGATGAGGAGTTCTTGTTTTGCTTTTTCGGGCTGACCTGATGAACTTGGGGAAGCGTGTGGCTATGCAGAGATGTGCTTTGCCCTCGCGGTGCTCAATGACTGGAGCATGTTTGGGCGCTGTGCCGTTACAGCCTCAAGGTGAGCAACGGTCCCAGAGCCAGAAATCCAAGAGCTATCAGTCCACGGGCAAGCCACGCAATGGCTTGCACCAGGGAGAAATGGGGGACTTCCGACTCCCCAAGTGGCACAGTCGATAGAGTCACGCGACCCTACGCTATTCAGGAAGAGGAGGGAGAGGATGTTCGGACTGCGACAAGAAGACTTCAGAACCCAATCGATGTCGTGGCCTCCGGCACTGTTGTTGATTCCGCATCCACCTTTACGGCAAGCAGGTGGAAAGCATTTGCACATCCATACCTCGGTGGGGACTCCAATGCCATGACAAACTCAGCCAACTCGGGAAGTATGCCAGGCTGCGAGGCCCTAGCCCTACTCTGGCCTTGGGCTTTCCAAATCGTTTGCGGGCACAGTGAAGTTCAGGGCCCAAAACCCTGTCTAACGCTAAATGAACTTGGCTGCAAATCTGGCACCAACACGTGGAAGATGTCCACGCCCACACGCTGTCTCAGTTCACCCCACAAGGCTGGGATTGTAATAGCGTAAGGTTCAGACACGTTCAACGTGCTAGTGTGTAGGGATTAGGCTTCCAGGGAGAAGTGATTCTTAGCTCGTTAGCGAATTTCGGGGCTTGGAGTACAGGCATTCAGGGCTACGCCCAGACTTTGGAAAGACGAGGCCACACGTCCGGTTGAGAATTTTGGCTGGCTTCGGCTTAGGGCTGGGGCTGAAGGCTTTAGGGCCCAAGTTCCAAGTGCAGTGCTTGGCCAAGAGGCTGACGTGAGGAGGCAAGAGACACACGGAGGCAGGGCGGAGTCCCCCCCATCCGTGTCGCCGACCTGGGTGCAGACTTTTTCAAGGAAAAGGAGGCAAACTGAGAACGTAAGTATTCTTTCAACGGCATGTCCTGGTCAAGATGTTAAGCGGGAGATTATGGCTTAAGCAAGCTACAAAACCTCGAAACCTTCGTCGCTGTACACGCCGTACACAAGTCTGGTAGCAAACTTGAACACACACAACGAATCCCTGAAGTCAAGGTTTCCATTCGCCAAGAAACTGCAGGTCCACGTCCTGCCTGGACATGAACTTCAGGAAACGCTCCTTCTCCTCCAATTCCCCCCCCAGCTCCATTCAGAAGGAACCATCGAACTGGGTTTCACCCGCAACCAAATGCTCCTGGTTTTTTTGCATGTAACGCATGTTTGGAGGGACCCTGATATAAGACCGGTGCGGCTCCTCGATGTCTGGGGCCAGCAAATCTTGAAAGAAGGAGCCTTCCCAAGTCTTCTTGCCTGACGAAAGGATGTCCAGCTTCTTAGGAATGGGGAAGGGAGGGGGGGCTGCGGGGTGTGCTGCCTGACAGGAGAATGCGGTCCAGCCCCGTGCCCGCTTGGATCTCGAAATTGCCATTCAGGAGCAGCTCAGCGTCCGAGATGCCTCGAAGAAGCATGCGGAAGCTTGAGACCAAGGACTCTGCATCTGCGATCTGAAGTTGCGCTGACAAGCGCCCGCGAAGCTGAGACTCCGCCGAGATGGAGGCCGTGATGAGGAGACCGGAAAATACCAGCTGTGCACAGACCGTGTGAGGAAGGGATGTTTCATCCCAGCCATTGTGCACAACGTGACGACATATCTCCGACAGGCACACCACGACTTGCCCAGGAATGTGGACTCTGCTGTCCAAGAAGACCATTATTGAGATGAACTGAGAAGCTTCCATCATTTTCATGTGCGCAGCTGACTGGCTAGCGTTCACTGGAACCAGCCAAGGAGCACCAATGAGGATAAGGTAGGCGAACCCGAAATAATGTCTCAAACCCTGCCCTGAAAAACGAATCCGTCGGGCCGCAAGCAGCAAGTGAAAGAGGTAGAGAAAGATGGTAATGAGCATCATGCCTGCAAGTTTGATGCCTTCGCCTTTGTAAGCGAAAGGCATGGACACCAGAGCAACGAAGTTGACATGCTGTGCCAGCCGGGCCGTCATCACGTAGCTTTCCTCTCGGCGCACATCTCTGAACCCCAAAGCTCTGAAATCATGGAAATCTTACAAAGCACAGACCTAGAACCCCCTCAAAAGGAAACACAAGATTGCGTTCCTCCGGAATAAACGCCTCTTCACGAACAGCCTATCTGAGCCAGCTTGATGCCCACAGATAAGGCTCAAGTGAGGTCAAGAGGACAGCAGTCTATGCTTAGACCCAACTGCCCGACTGAGGTGGGACACTGCACATGCCAAAAACTTTGAGCAGTGTGTTTCTACGAAGCAAAGCGGTGTCCTCTCTGACTCGGTCCATGCCCGCATCAACCCGTTTTTCCAAGGCACCGTTGTTGGAAGCTCCGGAAGTGGACAGCATCCTCAACTCAACGGACAGCCAGACGTCTTTTTCCGATTTACTTCTGATTAAGACACCTTTTAAGAGGGTAGGCTCCAACCGTTGGGGTGTTCCACAAACTGAAGTACGCAACCCACCTTTTCTGATTACCCTTCATTCTTGTCTTACCCTGGGCCCTAAACTTGGCTTTCGCAATTCCAGGACACTGCCGCGGATGTGACCACTGCGCAGCCAATGCCATGGCATCTGCCCATGTCGTCCTTCAGGGTGGTTGGGGTTGTTGCCTAGCTTTTGGCGACTGCATACATGTCTGAGCGGGAAAAGCTTGCGGCACCAGTGACTAGGGGGATGATCGGAGGTCCTCCCGTGGAAGATGCATACAACGAGGACGAAGGCCACACTCAGCTCGAATGTCGGCATCATGGCCAGCAGGACTACCGTCCCTGGCAGCTGATGAATTAAAAGAAGGAAAAGCCCACCCTAAAGAAACGACACATTAAACTGCCAAATTTGGCTGCTGCGAGGAGCCGAGGGCGTATGCAACATCTTTCCAATCTAGGGGGGCCGTAGGAGTCTGGGGAAGCCTTTTGGAAAGTGGGTGTTTTTTTTTTTGCCTCGCTTAACCGTTAGGACCAGGGGTGAATTTGGCGCCGACCATTGGGGGGACACCAAGACACTAAATCCGGGGCGTTGTTTGCTGCTGCACAGCCCCCTCTAGTCTGATCTGCTGGGCCTGGCCTGCTCAAAGCCCCGCTGACTATCTCTGGACTGCACATCCCCACAAAAGCCCTCAGAGAATTCTGCCGACCATTCGTGGAGTGCCGTTCTTCAGAAGCACCCCAGCACCACCCCTCAGGTAAACCCTTCACACCCTCCAAAGAGCTAGCTTACCTGGAAGTACATGGCCCGCGTGCAGCGCTAAAATTTACAGGGAGCAGAAAAGCATTTGCTTGGCTTTTGCATTCCTATCCCTTTCCTCAACCCTAAACCTGAACCCTAAGTCCAAAACCCTAGCCCCAAGTTCCCCAAACCCGAAATCTTGATTCCCAACCCCCAACCGAGGCTGTTGGGTTGTGTGTTGGGCTCCAGCAAACTCTGCACGCGAACTTTAATCATTCATCCTTCCTTTGGCTTTGCTGTGGGCTGCCGCTGAGGCGCAGCGGGCTGGGCCTTACATGGGTGCTTGAAAAGTGCTGACCGTCACGAATGAGGCACATGGGGTGCGCCACGCTCGTGACTGTCGTCACTTTGGACCTCGGATTAGTGTTCATGGCTCGAAAGTGCTGACAGTCACGAAGATGAGGCACGTAGGGTGTGTCATCCTCGTGACTTGTGGACTTCGGTCAAATGTTGTCCCCATTCACAAAACTGCTGACAGCCACAAGGATGAGGCATGTGGGCACGCCATTCTCGTAACTTGTTGCTCGCGTCTCAAAAGTGCTGACATTTACGAGGATTAGGCACGTGGGTTGCGCGATTTGAAGCCTCATTCGTTGGTTGCGTCTCAAAAGTGCAGACAGTTTGTTTGTTCACATCTCAATAGTGCATACATCTATTGGGATGAGGCACGTGGGGTGTGCCATCCTCGTACTTGTTGTGTTTTTTGACGCCTCGTATGCTGTTCGCTCGCCATGTTCGTAACTGTTGTCACTCCAAAGTAACGGAGCGAGAGAGAAAGAGAGAGCGAGAGATAAGCGAGAGAAAGAGAAAGATAGAGAGACAAGAGGGAGAAAGAGAGAGAGAAAGAGAGAGAGAGAGAGAGATATATATATATATAGAGAGAGAGAGAGAGACAGAGAGACAGAGAGAAGAGAGAGAGAGAGAGAGACGGACAAAACATTTCATTTGGGATTGCGTCTTCTTTGTTCGCCGTGTACCTGACACGTGTGTGCACTCGGGGTCACGGCCCTTATCAGGCTTCCTACAGGAATCATCTGCCACATGCTGTTCTTATTGGAGTTTGTGGCAGAAGTACCATTCAAAGCCTATGAAACCAACATGCTCAAGGCATTTTCCGTGGTGGTGAGGGGCGGGTGGTGAGGTGGTGAGTGATGGTGCTGCAAAGAATGCGTGTTAGGCGCCTAAGCTCTTCTTGCAAGAGGGCCGTCGGCCTTCAAGTCTGCTGGCCCCCAAATCCGTTTCCAAGCCCATGACACGGCAATTGCAAGGCTTGCGCGCTGTCTCTTGTTCTTACCGGAAGCTCGGGGCTCCTCGGTGAGGCTGAGATGGACCTTTAAGGTCTGCTCGGCATGCGAGGTGCAGAAAACATGGACCCCATCTGACAGAGCGGTGTTACTACAGACCTTGGCTTCTGTCATGATTGGGGCGGCTCTCAAGCCTAAACCAGTTTCAAAAGCCGTCTTTGCCGGCTGAATGCTGAATTCTGGTGTCGCATAAAGGGTTCTGGCAATCTTGAGCACACGTAAGAGTCAGGCTAGTGGCCAATGCTAAATAAAACAAGAACAGTCAGTGAGGCATGGATCTGATGAAGCCGAGGCAGGCACACTCAGGAAGAAAAGGATTGCGCAAGCAAAGGTGCGCAGCAAACTTGTCAAAACTATCTTCACTGAAATGCTGGTAAGATTGAAAGAGGGAATTTCAACTTTAGTCAAGTACTCAAAGATTGGAGCTTCCAGAACCCAAGGGCACAGCTGGCACCTGTGCATCGCCTACGGCGTGCAAACCCTGTGGCCTCCATCCATGTTACCGCATCCAAAGCCAGGAATCCGACTTCACTTATGAGTGTCTGCTGTTCGTTAGGTGCCACTTCAACCTCAGTCCGTGAGCCCCTAGACCTTCCACCCAAAACTGCATTTCGTGCTTTCCACACTCAGGAGGCCCTCATTGAGAGCTTGCGGCACGCACTCCACCTCCACCCGCGGCCAGCTGAGTCCTGACACGAGCTCAAGCAAGGAAGAGCAACACAGGAGTCGGCACAAGTCGGCGCAGGTCGGCACAATGCTGCTCGGAAGCCAGCAGATAAGCTTTGGGCATCGTGCTACACACAAACAAGCATGTGACCATCTCCTAAATGGCTGAGACGAACCTCGAAATGATCTCACGTATGCTGCTTGCGGCGAATGAGGCGGAAACGACCAAGTGTGCTACAAGAGAACACGGTCGTGGATCCTGATCAGCTCCATCTCGGCCGTCGTGTGTACGAAGAACCTGCACGCCAGCTTTGAGCCCCAACCCTGACAAGCCTCCGTACCGAAGCCTTTCAAGACTCTCTGCTCAGAATAAGGCTTTGGAGATCCTTCCAACCCCAATGAGACAGGCTTTGCGGGTCTTGCCGGGGGGCCGTTTCATTTCCCGTGCCACCAGGAGCAAGTCTGCTGCACGGGCAGAACCATTCAACCTGTCAGGGAATTTCTCTTATCAAAGTATGAGCAGCGTGCTCTTTAAGCCTGAGGCCGTTGGCCTGGCACAGGACAATGATGTTTTTGCTTTAGGTCTTCACAAGCACAGGTCTCCGTTTCCAGGATCTTCCAGGGCTCCAAGCCGCGGTGGGGCGAATTCGAGCTTCGTTGGCTTCGTTGAGAAGAAAAGGGAGTTTTGGCTGAGTTCTTTGCCAGGCTGAGGTTTGGGGGTCAGCCAGAAAGAGATTGTCGAGTTCACATGTAGCCACAAGCCTAAAGGCCGCCCTCCACACGACAAAGAACCAGATCTGTTTAGGGTTCCTGGGGCAAGGGAGAGCTTAGGGTTGCCCCCACAAAAATTGTGGCGCCTCAAGGTCCCGCGCAGGAACTCTTCGAAATTGATGGTGCCACTGCCGTCCATGTCCAGAACCTGCTCAGACTGAGCCCACTTGCAATGTGTTCTCAACTTCGAGGACGTGGCATGTCGGCCTTCCGGCCACACACGCTCCTTGAATGGGACCGCAACACCTTCTCTTTTCAAACGCACGAGATTCGCAGCCCTACGCCCCAGACGCATGCCGTTGGCAAGGGTGCCAGCCACGGAACAAAAAACACATGCAGTAGGAGTTGTACTGGTTCGACCTCTGAACAAAAGCTACCAGTCAGTGTATCATGCACATACAAGCTCCGGCAGAAGAAGGGGTGTGAACAAGCCCTGAAGAAGCCCTGAGTACCAACTTTGATACTCAAAACGAACCTCAAGCTTGGCTTGCCTCCAGCAAGTACTGTGCCTCGGAGGGGTCGACGTCAACCGACTCCTTGTCAAGGTGCAAAGGCCAAAAACATGTCCCTCCAACCGGATTTTAAGCTGTTCATTGATGGAGACGAAGGTCCGGGATTTTGTGGGTGACAGAAAGGAACTCTGAATCCGAAGATGCACTCAAACGGAAGCCGCGGGTCGAAGAAGTCGATAACCGCATCTGTAGCTGTCTGGTTCTGGATCTCCTGCTCTTCAGGGCTTCGGTGCTTTCGAGCTACAAACCTGCATCCTTGGCTTAGGAACAGCTTGGAAGCTTTGAGCCTCGAACCCTTCCGTAACCCCCTGGTTCAACAAGGCCTCCCTTACATAGTGGTTGATGGATGCGTCAAGAAGATGCCCAGTCTCTGAACAACATGAAGATAGTGAAACCACAACAAAACTTTTGGCATTTCAGCTTGAGGGCTGCCAAAGAGATAAAGCCGGAGTGGTCCACGTCGATCTGCTGAAAAAGCCGCCTTGCCTGGAGGATCCTTGGCTTGGGTGGAGGCTTTCTGGATGACCGGTGAAGACTAGGTGAAGACACACGAGAAGGGATCCTCTCGTTACCAGCAGGGTCGAGGCTTTTGACATCTTGGCGTTGTGGGGAAACTTGGCATCTATTGAATCTGTCGGCTGTGCTCAACGTTTCCAAGGTTCTGCGTGCGTACCTTGAGGTCGTTTGCCTGGCGGCCGACTGTTTCCACCTCAGCACGGGCCAAAGGTGGGACTTGCAACTGAAATTTAGGTGCCTGGGTATATGAAATGTCCTGGGTAGCTGACGACAAGAGCAACATGTGTCACAACAAGTTCCATGGCAAGGGGGGAGGGGGGGGGATGATTCCGTTCTTTGCTTTCCACAACATTGACAAGAGCCACAAAAACGCTTATTTCTCGAGTTTTGGACATCAATTTTTAGGGTATGTTCCCTGTTTTGGTGTAAGAGCTTAAGGGGGCACCCGTAAGCTATTAAGCCCCTTAGCGTGCCCTCAGCCCCCTAAACCCTTAAGCTCTTAAGCCCCTCCGCGCGCCCGGCCTAAACCCGTAAGCTCTTAAGCCCCTAGGCGTGCCCTGAGCCCCCCAAACCCCCAAGCTCTTCTTTGCACCGTTTGAAGAAGTGCAAATGATCGCTCTTGTGGACACAGCAGGAAGTAACCCAACAAAAACACTTTGCAGCTAAGTGCCCAGGCCATGAAGTGCTTTTGAAATTTATTCATTTAACTGAAGTCGAAGCTTCGGCTAATGAATTCGCCATCGCCTGCAGCTGAACGAACTTTTTCAACACTGTACATACCTGTTGAACTTCTTAGCTGAACTGCGCAAAGTGGCATTCAATAACACTGCAATTTCAGGTTGAACTGGGAATCAATTTTGTGCGGAAGTTTAAAGCATGCCAATATTTTTTATCTGAAGTTAGCAGCCCGGACTACATGTTCCCGGCAGAGTCACGTGTGACCATACTCAAGTACAGTAGAATAGCTAAATTAGATCAGGACTTACCAGGTAAATACCATCGCCTACACATCCATTTCTGTCTTGACAAGCTCTAGCACCAAGCTGAGGTTTACAAAAAAAGTCATCATCCTCGATCGATGCCCTATTGTATCCCCTTGTCGCAGCAGGTCTTACAACGCACAACGTCCCAAGGCCAATCAAGAGCACCGAGCTCTAGTTACTCAAAACGTTCTCATTCATATCAATCAATCAGATTAGCATTTCGTGAGTTTCAATTGCGTTGATAAACGTTTCCAGGAATCGCAGTCCTCTCTGCAAAGCACTATGCGGGTCCGA